CTACTACTACTACTACTACTACTACTACTTCTACTACTACTACTACTACTACTACTACTACTACTACTACTACTACTACTACTACTACTAACTACTAACGACTAACTACTAACTACTAACTACTAACTACTATTAACTACTAACTACTACTACTACTACTACCACTACTACTACTACCACTACTACCACTACTACTACTACTACTACTACTACTACCACTACTACTACCACCACTACAACTACTACTTCAACTACTACTTCTACTACTACTACTACTATTACTACTACTACTACCACTACTACTACTACTACTACTACTACTACAACAACTACTACTACTACTACTACCACGATTACTACTATTACTACGACTACTACTACTAATAATATTACTACTACTGCTACTACTACTACTCACTACTACTACTACTACTACTACTACTACTACTACTACTACTACTACTACTACTACTACTACGACTACTACTCTTACTACTCTTACTACTACTACTACTACTACTACTACTGCCACTGCTACTGCTACGACGACGACTACTACTACTACTACTACTACTACTACTACTACTACTACTCACTACTCACTACTACTACTACTACTACTACTACTACTACTACTACTACTACTACTACTACTACTACTACTACTACTACTACTACTACTACTACTACTACTACTACTACTACTACTACTAACTACTAACTACTAACTACTAACTACCAACTACTAACTACTAACTACTACTAACTACTAACTACGACTACTACTACCACTACTACTACTACAACTACCATCACTACCACTACGACCACTGCTACCACTACTACCACTACTACTACTACTACTACTACTACTACTACTACTACTACTACTACTACTACTACTACTGGTACTACTACTACTACTACTACCACTACTGCTACCACCACTACTACTACTACTACTACTACTACTACTACTACTACTACTACTACTACTACTACTACTACTATTACTACTACTACTTCCCTACTTCCATCGTTTTATTCTAGTTTGGTCTGCGCAGTGCCCGGTGACCCCAGCAAGTAGATCAACATATTTGTACGCCCGCATTAACAAGCGAACGCAGGGAGCGTCGGAATGCCCAACCCCGAAACCTATACAAAAGAACCCAACACAAGTTTGGCAACGTGGAAACTCATGCACGCTGCATGACAGGGGCTGCGGCATCCATGTAATAATCACGTGTGTTGCGTTCTGGAACAACTATAGCGCAACTCCGAAATCTATACTTCTAGACAGGTGCACAGCCCCATGCACCGCCACATCTGGCAGCCAACAAGTAGGTCCTTGCCGGGTAAGACAAACACAAGCTTCACAGCAGAAGTTTGTCCATGTTCCTCAATCGTTAGACCAAGTATTTGAGATATTGCTCACACCCCCTCTTAGCCAAACAGCCGGCTCCCCACCAATTTCAAAGGAAAAAAACGCGGCTTGGATCGCAATATTGAATATTGCAATCCATGCTCATATCGCCCTTCAGGAAATATTTGAGTCCGAAACAGAATTGGCGGGTTGCCTGCACAAATGGTGGACGGTCTGGTGTGGCCCGCACCGCCTTCCCCACGCGCGTGAGTTTAGCACTGCGGACTTGCGACGCTGCAGTGTCCTTGTCCTCTGCATTGCCGAACTTACAAAAGACAAGGTTCTGGAATTCGCCTTCGTCATAAATGTTTACCCAAGCTGGTACCCGTAGTTACGCGAACTCATGTTGCAGCTTATCTGACGCTTTTCCACAAGAGTCAAGCCCATCCAAAGTATCCACCACTGCTGCGATACTCCACTTATCGCTCACGGTTTTTCCGGTATAGTTTGAATTCTTGTTTGTGATGTTCTGGCCATTGTTGTGGGAGTAAGTATGTCGCCTTCGATCGGCTCCAATAGCCTGTTCAGAACGGTTTCGAAAGTAGCCGCGGTAAGTGTTGCGCCCGACGTTTCCAGAAGGCCTGTTTGGAATTGGTGTTGTCGTTCTTTTGCTAGCGCCTATGCCCCGTCATCCGATTATGTTGCTGGTGATGTTGGTCCTGCTGATGCTGATGTTCCTGCGTCCATGCCGTCCATGTCTGATAGCGGGCTGTTGACATGCGCAGTTGTGGTTGCTGGAGGCGATGGTTGTGAAGAGGGCGGCGAAGCGATGTTGTACTTTACGCCCTTGAACAACTGACGCACGGGCGTACCTGGCTCGCTGGCGTCGCCACCAACTCCCGAAGGAGGCATCGCAGCTCACAGAGGTGGTGTAAGGGTGAATGGGGGTTGGTAGAGGAAGATCGCGATTGGGCCCCTTGAGGAATACAGGACGAAGTCTCGAGCCAGGGTGCATATATTACACACACTTGAAATGCTGGGCCTTGTGGCGCTTTTGGTCTTGGGTTGTTGCGGGGGGCACGACAGCAAAGTGGGCCGGCTGTTCTTGTGACGGTTCGTCGGGGCGAAGATAGTTAATAGTGCCATTAGCACGAGAAGCGAGACGCAACATACACATAGCAGGTTTTGTCTTCGTGGTTCGTCCCGGTTGGCAAACAGGCTTGCGCCGTCCAGGGCACGGAGAGGGGGTGGGGTGGACAGTGACGAGACTTGCCGCGCGCAGTGCTGGTTGCGGTTGGTCGACGGGCTCGCGCTATTGAGAGCGCGATTGGTGGGGAAGAAATTTGCATCCCCGGATCGTCTTGGTCGGGCCTTGTTGGTCCACAGCTTCGCACCGCGGAAAGCGCCGATGTTTCAGGGGGAGAAGGAACAGCAGCACGTGGGTTGGTTCCTGCTGGTTCGGTAGCGGTTTCTGGTCATGTTGTCGTTGTGGTGGTTTTAGGTCCAGAATAGGCATTTGACATTTGATACTTGACAAAATAGGAGAAGGTTTTCGCCATCGAGGACGCTCCATTCCGCCGAAGCTTACGCGGCCTGCGATTGGCTGCGCCACGGGTTGTGGCCTCGGACGCGCAAAGGAGGTCGGTCTGCGCATGGTTGTTGCTTGGTCTGTGGCTCTTGCACCAGAGCTCCAGGTGACCTGGTATTGGTTTCGTTTCGCCATAGTCATTGCCCTCGGCAGCCAAGTATCCTGGCGAAGGACCCAACCAGATGCAGTTGTGCGTAACACGTTGTGGCACCTCTTTCGGTGGAGCTCCCCATGCGGCCACGAACAGTGTGAGGGGTTTGCCGGGATAAGCGGGGAACCGCATTCGATCTTTGCCACTGAGGCAAACGGTGGAGCTCCCCATGGGGCCACGAAGCGTGTGATGGGTGTGCCGACTTTACAGGGGAACCGCATGCGAATTCTACCATTGGTGCCTTGAATGGAGCTCCCTATGGAGCCACGAAGCGTGTGAGGGGTGTGCCAGAACCGGCGGGGAACCGCAAGCGATTTTTGCCACTAGAGCTTGTGGTGGAGGAGGGGTGTGCTGAAATGGGCGGGGAACCGCAAGCGAACTTTGCCTTTGGGGCCTTCGGTGGAGCTCGTTTCTATGGGGCCACGAAGCCTGCAAGGGGTGCGCCGAAATCGGCGGGGAACCGCAACCGAATGTTGCCATTGTGGCCATCGGTGGAGCTCCCTACGTGGCCACGAATCGTGTGAGGGGGTTACCGCCATGGGCGGGGAACTGCATGCGAATTTTGCCATTGTGGCCTTCGGTAGAGCTCCCTAGCGGGCCACGAATCGTGTGAGGAGTGTGCCGGATTTGACGGGGAACCGCAAGCGAATTTTGCCACGAGGAAACACGGTAGAGCTCCGTATGGGGTTACGGAGCGGGTGATGGATGTGCCGAATTGGGCGGGGAGCCGCTTTCGGATTTTTGCCACTGGGGCCTTTGGTGGAGCTTCGCATGGGGCCACGAAACGTGTGAGGGGTGTGCCGACAGGGGCGGGGAAACGCATGCGATTCTTGCCATTGGGGCCCTCGGTGGGGCTCACTATTAGGTTACGAAGCGTGTGGGAGTTGTGCCAAAATCGGTGGTGAGACGCATGCGAACTTTTTGCCACTGGGGCCTAAAGTGGAGCTCTTTTCTATGGGGTCACTAAACGGTTGAGGGTTGAACTGTTATGGGCGGGGAGCCGCATGCGATTTTTGCCATCGGGGCCTTCTGGTGGAGCTCAGGGGTGTGCCGAAATTTGCGGAGAGCCGCATGCGGACTTTGCCACTGGGGCCTTCAGTGGAGCTCCCTATGGGGCCTCGAAGCGTGTCAAGGGTGTGCCTAGGAGGAGAGAATCGGAGAGGACGATGGACGCCGTCTTTCCAAAGCGCGGACCCAACACCACAGGAGGATTCGGGGAAAAAACGGCCTGTTATTCTCCTTCGTCGTTCAGTCCTCTTTCCTTGGCCTCCTTCCTTGTCCCTTCTCCTCGCCCTTCTTCCTCGTCCTGGTTCTTTGGTGTGGTCAGGATCCTCCTTTTCTCTGCCTCCGCGCCACTGCCGCCGCCGCCGCCCGCCGCGCCGTGCTGGTGCTGCCGCGCCGCCGCTGCCGCCAGGCCGATCGGACTGCGCCGCCGCCGCCAGCTGCCGAGCCTCGCGCGGCAGAGACCAGCAGCACGACGGAGCGACGGAGAGCAGGCGCGGAGAGCAGCCGGGCGAGCGGCGCCGTCCTCCTCGCCGCTTCCGATTGGCCGCCTCGTCGTCCGCACTGTCGGCTCCGCCGGCCACTTGGCCACCTGGCCAGCTCGTCGTCCGCATCGCCGCCTCGTCTTACGCCGAGGAGGGGGAGGAGGAGGAAGAGGAGGAGGAGGAGGAGGAGGAGGAGGAGGAGGAGGAGGAGGAGGAGGGAGGAGGAGGGAGGAGGAGGAGGAGGAGGAGGAGGACGGCGGCCCTCCCTGGTGTTCTGCCTCCTTGCTGGGCCTCTGGGAGGCTTCTCGCCGCCTCGTCTGCATCGCCCCGCTCTCGTCGCCGCCTTCGCTTGGCCGCCACCACCGCCTCCGCCGGCGGGAGGCGCGCGGTCCATCCGCCCCTGCTACCGAGGTGCTCGTGCCCAGGGAGGCCGCCTATCGCTTCCCGCTGGACACTGGGCTCTCCCTCTTCGTCCTCGTCCTCCGTCCCCGTGTCCTGCTTCCTTCCCCCTCGTCGTCGTCCTCCCGCTCCCCCTTCTTCTCCCTCCGCCTCGTTCCGAGGACTGTTCCGCCCCGCTCCTCCTGCCTCCTCCCCTCTTCCTCCCATCCCGTCCATTCCTCCTCTCTCCCCCCTCTCCCTGATTCCTCTGCTTCCCCCCTCCTGCATCCTCTTCCCTTCTGTTCCCTACCTAGGTTCTGCCTAGAGGGTTCTTACTCGCTGGGCTTAAAGGGGCCGGGCAGTGTTCCTCGCCCTGGGCGGTTCCCCCAGTATCCGCCCCGCGGTTCCCCCAGTTGCGCCCCCTTAGCTTAGCTTTGCTTAGCTCATCTTAGCTTAGCCTAGCTTAAGCTACCTGAGCGTAGCTTAACTTAGCTTAGCCTAGCCTAGTTTAGCTTAGCTAAGCTTAGCTTAGCCTAACCTGGCTTAGATCAGCTTAGCTTAGCGCAGCGCAGCATTAGCATATAATAGCATAGCATTGCATATCATAGCATAGCATAGCATAGCATATCATAGCACAGCATAGCATAACCCAGCATAGCATAGCGCAGCATCTCATAGCATATCATGCCATATCATAGCATAGCATAGCATATCATAGCGCAGCATAGCATAGCATGGCATGGCATGGCATATCATAGCATAGCATTACATAGCGCAGCATATCATAGCACAACATAGCATAGCATAGCATAGCCCAACATATCATAGCATGGCATAACACAGCATATCATAGCGCATCATAACATACTATACCATACCATAGCATAGCATAGCATAGCATAGCGCAGCATAGCATAGCACAGCATAGCGCAGCATAACATAGCACATCATAGCCTAGCATAACATAGCGCAGCCTAGCATACCCTAGCATAGCATAGCATAGCATAGCATAACATAGCGCAGCATAGCGCAGTATAGCGCAGCATAGCATAGCATTGGATAGCACAGCATAATATAGCGCAACATAGCATAGCATAGCATAGCATCAAAGTTAAGGCAAAGCAACAGCAGCAACAGCAAAACAAAGCACAAGCAGTGCAAAGCAAAGCAAAGCAAAAGCAAACGCAAAGCAAAGGAAAGGCAAAGCAAAAGCAATGTGCGACAGGTGCCGAGCTAGCCTCGATGGCCGGACCGGAGCCCCCGCAAGCAGTGCTGAACAGCCTGCATTTCTTGCAGGAGCCGCGAGCAGCGTTGAACCTAGTGCAACCAGTGCTGAACAGCCTGCAGCACTTTCAGGAGCCGCGAGCAGTGCTGAACAGCTTAGTATAGCACAGCGCAGCAAATCATATCATAGCATAGCATAGCATACGTTAGCTTAGCTTTGCTTAGCTTAGCTTAGCTTAGCTTAGCTTCTGAATTCCCTACCTAGGCTCTGCAAAGGCAAGGCAATGCAAAGCAAACGCACAACCAATGCGAAAGTGTAGATGTAGATGTAGATGTAGGTGTAGGTGTAGATGTGGATGTAGGTGTAGATGTAGATGTAGATGTAGGTGTAGATGTAGGTGTATTTGCAGATGTAGATGTGAGCCTCGCTGTTGATGTTGATGTAGATGTAGATGCAGGTGTAGATGTTAATGTAGCCGTCGGTGTAGATATAGATGTTGCTTTCCTAGATGCTCCAACTCCTAGGTAGGCTCGCACTGGGATAATTCTCCCCCCATCCACCCTCTTCCCCCTGACCTCCTCCCGACCGTCTTCTTCTCCTCTTCAGAGACGAGGGGGACGACGTCGAGGAGGAGATACATGACGGGAGCAGGGGATGATAAGGTGGAGGCAGAAGCATGAGGCTGTATAGTGAGCGAGAGGGTAGGCTCTGATTGGGGCGTATGGGCCCTGGCGGAACTATTTCCAGGGGGGGCGCTTGGGCTCGGGCCGAGGCAGAGTTGCTTCAGACCTCCGCCTCTTGAGTTCGAGCCTGAACGCAGCGCCTCCACGTGCGTGTGTGAGCCGTTGCGAGGTCGAGGCAGAGCTTTGCCTCAGACCCCCGTCTTTTGAGCGCGAGCCTGCAGAGCTCTTCCTCCTCCTCCTCCTCAGGCTGTATCCGTACGTCCGCAGAAGCCTTTGGAGGTATCACGATGCCCACGGAGGCCTCCAGGGGCCTACAGGAGGAGGAAGAAGAAGGGGGGAGGAGGAGGAGGAGGAGGAGCAGGAGGAGGAGAAAGAGGATGAGGTGGAGGAGGGAACAGGGAGAAGGGAGAGGGGAGGCGGGTGGAGGGAGGATCATCGCACGGCTTCGGAAAATGGGTCTGACTTCGCTTATTGCGACTCGAGGGCTGGGGCTCGGTGGCTTCTTAAACCCTTGAAGTGCCTACCCCAACACAGCAGCGCGATCCACGCGACAACAAAAAACATAACTCGAGGGCACTGCTGGTGGAACCCCTTGAGCGCACACTCCGGACACTTGCCACGTTGGATGCATGCTACAAAGAGACTCTCGTCAGCCAAGCGGTCGAACACGTGCAACCTGTGGGCATTTCTTTGGAGAGCGAGCTTTGCCAAGGCGGCCGCGTGGCCAGTGTAGCCCTCCCTCTCTATGCATACAGATATAGGTATCCCTCTCTCTCTATTTCCCTCTATTTCTTTTGTTTTTTATCTCTCTCTCTCACACTCTCTCTCTCTACATCTCTCTTTCTCTAGGCCCCCTTGTTTATTTGTTTGTGTTTGCTTTGCTTCGTCCGGCATGCGTCTCCAGCGGCCGCGGAGACAGAGCCCACGAGTTTCGTCGCCAGCTCTGCTTGTGCCCAGCACGGGCGCGCGGGAGTCAGGCTCGTCCTCTTCTGAGGCCTGCAGGGCCGCCAGGGCTCTGCCTTGCACTGGGCCCTGCCCCCGGTGCTCGAATCCTGCGGCAGCGGAGTGTCGAGCTCCAAAACAAAAATCCCTGGCCTCCCCCTCTCGGGCCCGCCGTGGGGCACAGGGCGAAGGCTTCGGGAGGAGAGAGCGTCCGGGAAGCGTCTCGCTTGCTCGCCGAGCTTATAGCCTGGGCAGCGCGGCCGCCCTCGCGGGCTGCGGGAGGTCTGGAGGCAGCCATCTGCGCAGCGCGATCGGCCTCGGGCTTGCCCACCACGCCCTGCCACCGCTCCCTGTTCGGCGTGGGTGGCTGGATGAGCTGGTGGGCCCTGACCTTGGCGGCCGCACGCCGCCAGCTCCACTGGCTTTGTCCCCCCATGGCAAGGGCGCCGAGTCCATCAAACCTGTTATAACGATTCATGGCCCACCTGGACTGTGGAATGCAAGCACGCCGTCGCATAGTCACAGTGACGTGTGGTTATTCCTCGAAGCAGGCTGGCAGCGACTCGGGCAACACGCTCAGCAGCGGGTGAGGAGGCCGGGAGCCCGCGGCCTTCTGGCCCGCATAGATAGGCACACGTTGATTCATTGTGCACCCGTTTGACCAAGGCACAGCCAGGGGCGAGATGGGTGGTAGTGTTTGGCCACGCTGCCATCAACATAAGCCTCCCCGAAGAGAGCCTGGGCGGGCGAAAGGCCCTCCTCAGACCAAAGCGCGGCCTGCTGAACCCCTGGGGTCTGGGGGGGGCTCGGGAAAAAAAACAAGCACACCCAGCAAATGCAGTGTGGGTTACTGAGCGCCTCGATGTCTGCTTCCCGCAAGTGCTGGTCACGTGTGCAGCCCAGCAGAGGAAGGGCAGCGCGACAGACTGTGGCAAGTGCCATCGACAGGGGCTCCACAGGTGGGTGCGCTGTGCGCCAGTTTCGTACCCTGTCTTCGAAAGACGGCCCACGGTTTAGATGGACTGTGCTTAGAATGACAGCAATGTACCACGTCTGGCTTGAAAAGACCATGTTCGGACAGACCGTGGGAGACATCGATATCACCTGTTCCCATGTTAACGTTTACTTGGCGCTGTAGTTCCGCCAGAATTGTTGCCGAACTGGAGCTGTGCGAAAGAGCTGGTGGGGTGGTTGTGGCAGGGACGTCTCGGCGTCGCCTATGGCGAATTCGAACGAACGAGGCCGTTCAGGCCCATCCTTTCTTCTGAAGGCTCAGCCAGGAAGCTCCGAGCGGTCCCTGGATATGTATGTCCCTCTCCGAGAGGAGGCTTGGTCAGGACGAGTTCGGCGAACTGTCGGACCTGTGGTAGGGAAACTACAGACTTGTTGGTGTCCTGGGAGGCTCTCCTGACAACCAGAGGCCAGTCCATGCAGCGTCTGTGCCCTGACGTCCAACTGTGGTCCTCCAGGGGCGCCAGGGAAAGAGCCCGGAAACTCGTAGCACGCCTTGGGCCAGCAGTATTAATCCTAGATGTGATCGTTTGCTCCGCGACCCCCAAGACCTCCGTCCCAAAGTAGGCAGCCTGATGAACCCCAGCTCCCCACAACTGTTTGACATCCGTACCTGCAGCACGAGGCGCTCGGTGACGTCGAGGACAACCCTCCAAGTGGAGCGCTCGTGCCTTCGAAGTCTTCTTGAGGGATGGATGGATGGAGGTAGGTAAGATAGGTAGTAGCCATGGAGATCGCAAGTGAGGGAGGGGGGGAGGTAGGCAGGCAGGCATGGAGCGATTAGGAAGGAAGAGAAGCAGGAGGGAGAATAAGAGAGTGAGGTGGAGGGGTGAAAGGGGGAGGGAGGAGAAGGGAAGCAGGAGGAGGCAGGAGGCAGGAGGGAGGAGGAAAGGATGGGGGCAGGTAGGAGAAAGAAGGGGGGCATGGCAGAAGGGGAGGGCACGGTGGCAAAGAAGAGGACGGAGGCGAGGGGAGGGGGGGCTGCCGGCAGAGGCGGAGAGCTCTTTGGCCCCGTGGGAGCCGTGCCCCCTTCGCGCTGCCCGGCGCGGGCGATCGTTAGCGGGATCGGCGGCGACATGCCGAACATTGCTCCCGCTTCCTCCTCCTCCTCCTCCTCCTCCTCCTCCTCCTCCTCCTCCTCCTCCTCCTCCTCCCCCTCCTCCCCCTCCTCCTCCTCCTCCTCCTCCTCCTCCTCCTCCTCCTCCTCCTCCTCCTCAGGCAGCTCTCGGCGGCGAGCGAGGGGGAAAAGTGAGAAGGAGGAGGTCTTCTCAGAAGGCAGCGGGGGCTTCTCAGGGAGCGCCCTGGCCTCCAGAGAAGTGTTCTGAGTCCCTGAGGCCATCGAAGACTTCGCTGAAGGCCAGGGGGCTTCCGAGCCTTCTGAGAAGGCCCGCCGAAACGGGCTCGCTTCCCCCACGGGGCTCGCCGCCGAAACTCGCTGGGCGGCGGGGGAAGGTTGCGGAATGCGTAGAACGCGTGGCAAATTCTTAACCTTTGCCCCCGCCCCCCATGGACTCAGGAGCATCGAAGGCTAATAGGGGGGTAGGGCTCGGACGTCGCCACCTACAGAAACACATCGGCTGCCTGCAGGAGATCTCGATGGAAAAAGACAAGGTCAAATCGTCCAGGGGTTGTCACGCGGGTGGCAGCGGGCATGCTTCACAAATATAATAGGACATGATTTGATACTTTGTGGCTCATGGTCCGCTTCTGGCTCTCTAGAACACTGCTAGATCATTGTGGCTGTTGCGCAGGACATGTACGTGGACCCGGTGTTCCAGACAGGAGACTGGCCTAGATGTTCCTTGGGGGTAGTCGGCACCAGCATCAGGAGGAAGACGGCAAGGAAGCTCGAGGAGGAGGAGGAGGAGGAGGAGGAGTAGAGGAATAGAAGGGTGCGGTGTAAGGGTTGAGTGAGCAACGGGGGGGGAGAGAGAGAGAGAGAGAGAGAGAGAGAGAGAGCGAGAGAGAGAGAGAGAGAGCGGGAGAGAGACATAGAGAGAGGTAGGCACATTGATGCACATTTGCATGAATGCGTATAGGTGTAAAGATTGAGAGATGACAATCAAAATGCACACTTCTATAAAGGGGAATGCATATATATATATATATATAGAGAGAGAGAGAGATGGAACAAGAGAGAGGGCGAGATAGAGACTGAGGGAGAGAGAGAGAGAGAGAGACAGAGAGAGGGGGGAAGATAGAGAGAGAGAGAGAGCGAGAGAGAGACGGGGACAGAGATGGAGAGAGGGAGAGAAAAGGAGAGATCTAGAACGAGAAAGTACGAGGATGCGGAGAGCAACGAACTGGATCATGGCAAGGATTGGGGGGACGGCCACGAGGCCGAGGACGAACACGATCAGAGGGAGGAGCAGGATGCGGAACTGGAGCGCGAGGAGGAGGAGGACGGGAGGCAGCCAGGGGCAGCGGGAGCGGACGACGCAGGAGCAGGAGCCAAGGGTGCCCTTGATGGCGCGAAGTCATTCGCGCTTCGCGGTTCGTCTCCAACTTCTCCTCCTCCTGCTCCTCCTCCTCCCTTTCCTCCTCCTCCTCCTCCTCCTCCTCCTCCTCCTTTTGTTCACGGGGGGGCGGCGCGAGAGCGCGAAGTTCTTCGCGCTTCGCGTTTCGCGCAGCGTGAGATCGCGAAGCTCGGCGCCGTTGAGGAGCGGAACGTCGAGGACCCAGGGCAGGCTCGATGGAGCCAGGGAGGCATGCGCGGCCTCGTTGTCGCGAGGCGGGCTCACAGCCTGACCAACCACGTCCACCCCCATCTCCTCTGCCCCCTGCCTCTGCCTCGGCGGCTCCGTGGTACCTTTCGTCGTTACCATGCCCCCCGTCCGTGTTATCCTCCTCCCTTCTCTCTCCCCCCCCCCCCTCCCCCCCCTCCGCCCCGCCTCTGGTGCTGCTCCTCCTCCTCGATCCAACCTCGCCCTCCCCGTCATCCTTCTCGCACGCGTGGTCACCCCTCCTCAGCGCTGGCTGCGTGCACCGGCGAGTGCCCTCCCCCCGGGGGGGCACTCGGCCCCGCTGCCCCGGGGCATGGTGTGCTCGCTCCCGCTGCCCTTGGCATCCCCTGAAGGGTTGTGCCCCCACTGGGACGCATGGCGGCCGAGCGATTCAGAGGATGATGATGAAGAGCGAGAGTGAGGGGGCGAAGTAGGGACTGGGAGGAGGAGGAGGGGGAGATGTAGGAGGAAGGCGACGTGGTGTAGGGGGAGGATGAGGGCGACGACGGCGACACGAGGATGGGGATGTCTCTTCGTCTCCACTTGTTGTTTCCTTCTCCCCCCATGCTCTTGGCACACACACACACACCATCATCCTTCTTCTCGTCCTCCTCCTCTTCCCCCCGCGCTTCCTCCGTACCCTCATGCTTATCGGCCTGCCTATGGACTTCCTGCTTCCTCGTTCGATTTCCACTCCCCCATCCTCTGGCCTGCTGCCCACTCCCCTGGCCTCCCTGGCCTGCTGCCCACTCCTGGTCCCGCTCTTGCCGCCACATCTTCCACCTGCATGCTTGCCCTCCCTTGTCCTCCTCCTCCCCCGGCCTCCCCCGTCCTCGCCCGCTGGCTCGCTCGAGCTGGCCAGGGGGGGCCTTTGTAATGTGAACTCCCACTCTGCCACCCAGCGAGCCGATAGGGATCACATCCGGGACCCCCCACCCTGCCTGCTCGCAACAAAGCGAGGTCGACGTGCTCCCTCTCACCGTGGACGTCTTGGCGTGGACGGTTTGCAGATCGCGTGGCCCGAGTGGACGGGGCGCACATCATTCGCGAAAGGGCGAAATGTCGCTCGTGCCTTGGCGCCACGCTCGTTTGTCTTGAGACTTGAGCTCCATTCTGGGCGTGGCACACACCTTTTGCACACCATTCCCATTTCATCGACGCGCGAGCGGACGAACATGCCGCTCTCGCGCCGGCGCCGCGCAGCACGTGGCCTGGAAGCGGCGATCCCGCCCCGGCGCGGCGCATATGTGTCGCTCCCCCAGTTTTTTGGGGGCCCCGCGCGAGCTCCGTGCACATTTCGCTTGCAAGCGGCGTGCCCGCGTGGTCGCGACGCACGCTCCGTGTGCCGTGCCCCGGCAGGAGGGCCGCGCCAGAGCGGGCGGAGCACAGTCCTCGCCCAGTCGCCGCGCAGTCCGTGAGGGAGAGTGGCAGTGATGCCTCGGCACGGCGCGTGCTTCGCCGTCGCCGCGAACGCTGTGCAGGGACATCTTGACAGTGTCGCTGCCGCCTTGGCACGGCGCCCGCGCAGGTGCCCCGTCGCCACGTCGTAGCAAGTGGGGGGAACGCGCTCGGATCCCAAGGTCGATGTATGGGTGGGACGAATGGGCGGGGCCCGATGACTTGTTCGACCTGGCTAGCTTGATTCTTATTCCCACTCCGAAGCATACCCCTACATCCGCCTCTTCTGCATTCACTCCTACCCGATTCTTCACCCCCTTCCGCGACCTTGTCTTTCAGAATTATCGCCGTATCAGCCTTGCCCTCGCCAATCTGGAAGGCTGCCTAAACGCTTCGCGATCTGTCGAAAACGCTCTCCTCTTCTCCCTTCCCTTCCCCGTCCTCCGCCATCTCCTCCTGGCCTGATGGGCCGCTTCGCTATCGTGGTCGGCCTGATCGGTGGGACCATGCGGAGCCATACTATCTCAGGAGACCCGTATCAGAAGATCAGGATGAGGGGGTTCACGCTCTTCCCGCGCCTGCAGAAAAAGACTACGCTGATGTTCATCTTCTCTGGTCAGCCCCTGAGCGGGCTGTGGACAGGGCTGCGGCAGTGGCTCAACGAGGTCGGCGACGAGTTCAGCGCTCTGAAAGACACCCAGGTCTTCAAGTTGCACTACGAGGAAGGGTGGTGGAATCGCCGGACCCACGTGTGGATCCTAGTTGTCCACGATCGGTATCTGTCCGGAACGAGTTCGAGGGGAGGGTCCAGCTGGAGAGGTAGGATAACCTAGGTCACCCCCATGGCAGGAATATAGCGGCGCTTCGCGCAGCGTGGTCTAGGCCAACGCAGCTGCCCTTCCCAAGGACAGCGGCGCAAGGGCGCGAGGACGCGAAGATCACCACGCGTCGCGCATCGATGCGCGAAGTTAGGCGACCCAGGATAGCGCTTTCACAGCTATTACCCGACCACGCTCTGGATCAGTTTTTGTTGCCAAGGTGGTGAGCATCTGCTTCTGTTGTCACAGACGGAGCCAGCGCTTCGGCCAGCCGGTCTGGTGGAAGAACGCTCCATCATTCGCTGGAGCGCCAGGACGACTCTGCTCTCCGAGGTCCCAGTGGAGGGGCAGATCCGGGGCTCGCAGACGGAGGGTCAGCTCAAGGTGGGGTCGGGGAGAGAACCCAGCCAGGGGATTGTTATATTTCTTGTCCACGTCCTGCCCATCGCGGTATTCCTCTAACGCCCCAACCCCTTATGGCGGTACCAACCATCTGCGAACACCCGAGTAGAGGAGAGGACGAGGAGGAGGAGGAGGAGGAGGAGGATGAGGAGGAGTAGGAGGAGGAGAAGAAGAATAACAAGAAGGGAGAGGCGGAGGAGGTGGAGGGGGAGGGGCAGGGAGGATGAGCAGGATAATGAGGGAGATGGAGGAGGAGGAAGAGGAGGAGGAGGGATGACGATGAGGGGGCCAAGGATGAGGAGGAAGAGGACGAGAAGGGGGACGAGGAGGAGGGGGAGGAGGGATGATTCGGAGAAGTGAGGGGGAGATGGCGACGGGAGAAGGAGGGAGGACGGCAAGGTGGAACGAGGCGCGACCAGCTGCGCCTGGATCCGGGGGGCCCTCCCTGGCCGCGCGGACAGCGGAGGCGGAACGTGGCCCAAAACGTTCCGTCGCGAGACGGCCGGGAACTTCTGCTTGGCGTGTCACTCCGCTGACCCAGCGCGCTTCGGCGTGAACACGCTATCCACTTCCAGGTCGCCAGGCGTCAGCGTCCCGATCATTTCCGAGCGTCCCGCCCTGCGGAGCGGGGCGACACGCTATCCGCTTGCACGGCCGATAGCGTCGGCGGGGCCGCCGCCGCGGCACGCCAAGTGAGCGTTCCCGACCGTGGCCACCCACGGCGCGAGGAGGTCTGCCTCTGGAGGCTCGGAGGCATCAGAGCCGAGCGTGTTCAGCGAGCTCCGAGCCTCCCGAACCGAACCTCGAGCACCGAACCTCCCGCAGGAACATTTGAACCGAACCTCCGAACCTTCGGGCACCGAGCCTCCAGCACCGAACCTCCGAGCCTCCCGAACCGAACCTCGAGCACCGAACCGAACCGATCCGCAGGAACACGTTGAGCCCCGAGCCTCGAGCACCGAGCCTCCCCCGAGGAGGAGAGGAGAGGGGCGGCCGCCGCGGCCAGGGGTGGCCCGGCGGCGGCCCCGAGGCGGCCGCGCCCGAGGCCTGCCCCCCTGAGGGCGGGCGGGTTGCGCCCTCCCTTCCCCGTTCCCCATTTCGTCTCTCCCCCGCCCGCCCCTCCGCGGGCTCGGTCGTAGGATCTGTGCCGTCGTGGTGCTCCCAAGCCCTCTCTGGATCGAGCACCGTGGTCTGCACTGCTTCCTCCTCCCTCCTCGCTCCTCTTTCTCTTCTTCTTCCTCCTCCTCCTTCTCTTCCGCCTCCTCCTCCTCCTCCTCCTCCTCCTCCTCCTCCTCCTCCTCCTCCTCCTCCTCCTCCTCCTCCCTTACCTCCTCCGTAGCCATTTTGGCTCAAGGCCAAATTTCGTTCCATTCGCTGCCTTCGCGGGGTAGGCTCCCAAGCGATCCAGCATCCAGACGTTTGCCGCCACATTCGCGGGCTAGCGGCCGCCCCTCCATATTCGCTCCCTCGCTGTGCAAGCTGCTGACTACCGTCGCGCTGTGCTGCACGGAGCTCTTCATAACCCTGGCTCGTGAGCCAAGCTGCCACGTTCAGCGACCGCCTCCTGGACCTGTGCCTCAGCCACCACGTTCTGGACCAGAATCTCTGGAGGCGCTCGGTTCCCAACGCCCGCGACCACTACGACCAGCTCCTTCGACATCATGTCGGCCGCCTCCTTAGACCGAAGCCAGTCTGCATCGAACGGATCTACGTCCCGCAGCACACGCGAAGACCGCCAGCATCGCCGTGACGAGCCTCGCCGCCCCGAGCGTGTTGACGACCGCCAGCCCCGCCGAGAAGAGCCTCGCCGCGACGGTCGACGTGCAGCTCGCGAACACCTCGGACAGCTTAGTTTGGCCACGCGGGCTTCAGCAGCCAAGGCCCCGCGGGTGCTCCCTCACGCGCTACTGGCCGAAGCTCTGCGAGACCGCCGCCAACCTCAGCGCGATCTTCAGCCAGATCAGGAGGCCCTGCCCCTGCCGAAGCCGCCCCCGTGGCCATGGAAGGTTGAGATATGCCACCGCCTGGTCATCCTCCTGCTGACCCGCTCCTGGGCGCCACCGACCCCTGGGCCAACAGCAGGTTCGGCTCACAGCTCACGCGTGACGTCGAACTGGCACCTACCTTTCCATCTCAAGAGCTTGCCGCCGCAGCTGCCGCACAAGCCGCACCAGCTCCTGGACTCGCCGCACCTTGTCCAGAGCCGCAGCCTACACTTGCTGAGCGAAATCGGCCGCTTCCTGGAATTCCTGAAGATCTTGACGTCGCCCTTCGTGAACTTATGCAACGACAAGTCGCTACAGCCGCTACTCGCTTTCAAGCTCAAGTCGGCCAGCTACCCGCCGAATCTCATGAAACTGCCAGACATCTCGTTCAACAACAAAACGCCGCTACCGCACGCAGAGTTGACGGTCCACACGACGGAGCTGCCCGCACTCGCAGAGAACAGGACCGCCAAGCTGCTGAACACCAACGCACGTGGCAACAGATCGACCAGCTGCGCGACACGCTCGCTCTCGCCGAAACCCAGACGCCGATCACCGACCTCAACCGCCTTGCCGCATAGGACAGACAGCCCGACCCGACGCTCTCCACGATCGGAAGCCAACGCCCCATCGCGCCAGACCTGCTGCTCAATGACCTCCAGGAGTGGATCGCCGCGGCCAACTGACACTCAAGCCATGTCTAACTTCTCGGTGACGAACCCGCTCGCCGCTTCATATTACAAGTCAAAGGAGATGAAGCTCTCGCAGTGCTTCGCGCCCTTGCCAAATCACGTGCCCTCCGAGACGCCGCTGGGAAGTGGGTAGATTTGCATCGACAGACGTGGCTGGGCAGCACTGCGACATATACCTCAACCCCGACAAGTCGTCCAAGCAGACCCGTGCAGAAGTTCAAACAGAGAAACTATTCCAGCTCATGCAGCAACGATGCCCAATAACGAAATGGAGAGCGTTCAGGAACAAAGGCGAAATACACGCTGACTCAATGCCCATTGTCAAAATCCTTGTCAGGGGTCAAGCCGACCCGTCCATTATCCAGTGGAACGACTAGGCCGCCGACCACCCGCAGTTCCAGCATCGATCGCGGCAACGCCACTTCCTTCCTGGCGCTCTTTGCTGACGCGGAGACGGCCACGTGGCGTTGCTCATTATCGTTGGGCCCCGTGGAAGGTTGACGACACCACCGAGCCGACCACTATCGCCACGTGGGAAGCCAGAGCCCTCATGTGCTACAAGGGCAAGCGCCGCCGTCGCAAGCAGGCCGCCCTTGCGAAGTATATGAAGCGCAATTGCGTCATCACACTGCAGGAGGTCCACGGCTGGGAGGCTCTGCTCCGCAGCTGGGTCGACGCGCAGCCGTGCCCCTACAAGCTCTTCTTCTCTGAGGTCTCGCACGACGACGGCGACGACCCGAACGCCGCGGGCGGCGTCGCCACGCGCATCCCCTGGTTTACCCCGATGGAGCTCGAGCAGCTGCAGCCGAACCAGCTCCCGCTATTCGCTCGCGAAGAACTCGTTCCTGGTCGCGTCCAGCTGGCGGCCGCCGCGCGCGCCGTCGCGCGTGCAACCTTGATCCCTATGAATGTGCACCATCGCGAGATCGCCGACGCCAGCCGCCGCAAGGTCCAGCAGGCCTGGGAGCCGCATCGCACATGGGCGGAAGCTAACTACCGCATGCGCACCTTCATCGCGATCGGGAACTTCAACGTAGCCAGCCGCCCGCCGCAGAGCTTCCCGCAGCCGCAGCCGCAGCGCGCCAGGCTTGCGCTGGGCAACAGCATGCGCCAGCAGCAGCCCCTCCGGAAGTCCCTCTTCGACTCCATGCTTGATCGAGACCGGTCTCCCCGCGCGCTTCAAACGCTCGGACTTCACCGCCGCGACCATCGACCGCGTCTTCATCAGCCTGCCCTCGCACGCCACCACGCGAACGCGGTGCACGACGGCGCGCTGCTCTCGGACAATCGCCTGAGCGACCACGCCACCATCGCTTTCTCCATCGGCATCAAGCCGCGCACCCCGAAGGACGAGCAGGCCATCCCCCCCCCCCGATCTTCCGCGACCCGAATGGCGCCATCTACTTCAAGAAGCTCCTGGGCGCCACCAACTTCGACTACGTCTCGCTGGACAGCCGCTGGCGCACACACAAGCGCCTCATGACGGAGGCCGCCCGGCTGGTTCGCGACGACTGGGTGCGCCGGGCTACCAGCGATACCAACAAGACAGGCTTCCTGGCCGGCAGGGTTTACACGGTGCGCTCCATCCCGCGAGCCGTTCGGCGCCGAGACCTTCAACTGGCCCGCAGAGTTGCCTCCGCGACCGACCTCGGCGCCAAGTTCGTCAACATCTCCGACGGCATCGTCGCGATCAACGAGCCTGCCGTCTTCGCCGGCCTCGCTTCAGCTGGGCCGCGACTTCGAGGCGCGGCTCTCTCTCTCTCTCTCTCTCTCTCTCTCTCTCTCTCTCTCTCTCTCTCTCTCTCTCTCTCTCTCTCTCTCTCTCTCTCTCTCTCTCTCTCTCTCTCTCTCT